CCTTCCAAATATATTTCTCCTAGTTTCTGTCATTTTGAGGTTAGATTAAAACTTTAATGGGATATGGCTAAGCTCTAGCCTCAAAGTGTTGGGTGGGGGGGCAGGGGGGAGATATCTAGACCAGCAAGCCAAATAGACAGTTAAATAAAATACATCTCATTTCCACACAGGTAGAAATGTAGGAAGTGAATGTGCTGAGATTCATTCACTCTGTAACCTGTCAGGTTTCTAAGGATCTGGGCCTACAGCTTCATCCCAGGTAAATTCTCTCTGAGCAGATGCAGCATTGCACACATTTTGGCCTTTCACTTTGTTTAAAAGCCTGTTGAAATTAATAGAAAGCCTATCAGCCTCCTAAGATAGTGCCCCCTCTTGTAATTTAATCCACTGAATAGTTATAGTGTACTTCTGGATGCAAGAAGCCCTCAGAGAAATGAGTGATAATTAGGTCTAATAACCCCCCAGGAATAATGGTTATTTTTTAAATAGTTAGTTTTGCTAACTGGCCTTGAGCTTGCACTGAAAATTTACATTGCACAAAACTTCATTGCCCTGGAGCAGCAGGAACTTCACAAATCTTTGTCTAGAAGACTTTTTTTTTTTTTTTAAAGTTTTGTTTTTCTCTCTGAATGTCTCAATGGTTAGACTGATTGCAAGTTTCACATAAAACTTGTGCCAGAATGCAAAATCCTGCCTTGCTGTAGTTAATGTCTAGAACTCCACCTTCTTCCAGGGTTGGCAGTGTTTTGTGCACCTGGCCCATTTAAGTTGCTGTTTACAATTGGCAAGTCATACCAGAATACTTCACCCAATCTAGAGATTAGATGGAATTTCAGCTATGATTGTCTAGGGAATCAGTTCTCTCGTGCCTGCTGCCAACCTGTGCATATTCCTTGTGCTACCAGCAACAGTTGGGTAATAATGCATTTCCACAGCACTAGGTCTTTGTATATAAGGATGTTGCTCAAATGGCATCAGTCTAAGAAAGACTCGGGCAAAAATATCAAACTAATTTAGGTAGAGCATGAAACATAATTTTATGCCCTTCAGCTTAAAACTCTGTAGCCAGGTTTGTATTAGGTCCTTAATATTTTTAGTGGAAACAGAGCATCAAAAGCACTTCTGGACCTTGGTATTTAAGAAGGGTTATAGACATCTCAAAAGTGTGTGTGTGTGTTGGGGGCGATTCCTCTTCATAAGAAAATGTTTGTTTCTTTCCACTCACTTTCAAAACAAGGTTTGTCATCTGCTAAAATTTCAGTGGACTGTTACATGCAATTAATTTCTTGCACAGTAAAAACTTCTGTCATAACTTGAATTTGTTTAGTATTACTTCTTAAGTACAGTTGGTGTAGCTGAATAGACCAAAGTCACTCCAGTCATCACAACTTTGAGTCTAATGCAGAGGAGGCAAGACAATTTATATATAGAAGCAGTAACAGTCAGATACACCCAATATCAACAGAGCTAAAGCAATTAATGCCTTTAGCTCCTATTAGAAGAGGCTTGAAAAACACGTTCTTGACTAACATCAACTGAAAGTCACCTTTCTTTATTCAAGTTTAAAAATTGCTGCTGTTTTAAAGCATAGCACAATTATAGCAGGGATCTTTTGAGTCAGCTTTTACAAATGAGAAATTTTGTTGCCAGCTATCCTGTTCCTGGGAAATCTGGACATAACAGATTATATAGGATTGTGCTTAACTTCACCAGATGGTTAGTTACATGGAATTCACTTAGACCCCAGGAAACGGTTGGTTCATTGAAATGGTTTGCCTGATTAAATTTAAGCATGGCATAAATGCCCTACACAGCCTTTTTTTCTACCCAGTAGGTGCCAGTCTGTGTATAAAACTTGCAAAGAGAAGATAGGTCTTAATAGTGTGTGGTACTAACGTACATTTCCACATTTCCCTGAATAGGTGCCAGGGGTCTTGCATACCTTTATCTGCAGTTACTAAATGAAGTATCATGCAGACATAAAGAATGTGTCTTATTCCTACATTAGCAGCAGTGCATCACATTTGACATAAAAATGAGCACAGTGGGCTTTATATACCAATCACCTATTAAAAGTTTGATTCATTCTCATACCTTTGGTCTCAGGAGGACTAGAAATACAATGCAAAGGCTTTAAAATACTTTTTGATTTGCATTTCAAATGAAGTCTGTAACGCATCATACTTCAAGCACAAGTACAAAAGTCAAAGGAAAAAGCAGGGGAAAATTACAGTTACTCTTTCATAACAACTGCAAAGGATGTTATCAATGCTACAGATATTAAAGCCATTTACTTGCCATCACCAAATAAAAACTTTATGTAATTAAAACATATGGCTGGTGTTAACTGAAAAAGGGACAGGAAATTGAACATTAAAGGTGACTCTGCCCTTAATTCACTGTGTTGTTGGGGGAGGGAGGAGAGTGTGTTGAAGTGCTCCAACTGAAAGGGTGACGGACAACCTTATCTTTGAATTTCCTGCCTTTCATCAGCTACTATTACAACCTGCATGTTTAAGTGTTAGAAAAAACCTCTGAAGCATTACAAAACCTGATCAGTGTCTCTCAGAAAGTTTGACTGTATTTAGATGCTAAGTTCTTTAGTGTAAAGAATCAGTTCCCTCCACCCTTTACAGTTTTTGCAGTAAAAGGAACAGTTTTGGCTTTTAGTGAAATGGTTGTTTAAATATTACGTTTAATTAAGTCAGTGGAAATTTCCATTCTTCCAATTTTATTTCTGAAGGGCTATATCCCAGAAAGCTAATTTCTGGAAAGATTTTTACAATCCTGTTTAAACAGAAGTGCTGGTTAGTCTTTTTAGAGGGCATACCAGATTAGTTCTTCTGACAGTCTATATAGAGCTACTTTCATTTATACTAAGTGAAGAGTTGACTCTTTTTGTGGTTTGCTTGATGTAATGCTGATGACTCCTCCTTTTTTGTTCTGCCTTTTTTCATGCTAGTTTCGTACCAGTATTTAATAACTACATCTTTTGACTTTACTGTCCTTAAACAGTAATCACAAATCGTAATCACAAATACTTTACTGTCCTTGCATTTAGTGTCAGCTGCAAATTGCCTTCATTAGTAGGAACTTCTTGGCAGTTTATGAAGTTGCCATATTAAAAATTCAAAAGGGCAAACTATTATCTAACGTTTTTGTAAATCATGGGCTTCTCAAATGATTAATGACCACATTTGTTCTGTCAATACGTAAAAAATTTTGCAAACAAATATATCAAAAGGGATCCAGTTCTGTCAACTTTTGCTGGAATGATCCCCATTAATAATCACAATTAGTGTGGGTAACAGCTATTGTCTATTCACATGAATTTACAAAAACTGGCTGTCTTATTATTTTAGAAATACATGTTTCTACCAGTCTCAGGTTACATTTTTATGATTTTACCATTCTGGAAGGTATGCAATATCTTGTCAATCAGCTGAATATCTTTTTAGGCCTAATTTAAGATGACCATGTAAAGTAAGTACTCAAACAGTAAGTCTGTGTCTTGTGGGATTGTGTGAAAAGTCTAAACTTAACTTTCTGGTGATTCTTTTCCTTTTCTTTTGCTGTGCTTATTACTGAATGATGCTAAATCCTAATTTGGTTATTTCAGGCCGTGAGATGCTGATGACATCCTGCTTTCAGGCAGCTAAAATGAATACTTCTCTCCACCTTTTAAATGTATTAACCAAAACAGATGTGCTTTTCAGGCTCCCTTTAAGCTTTAAGAGCACAGTATATTCTCCTGATTTTTGGCTTTTTGTTTTTTCTTTGATTATGTTCTCTTCTGTGGCCCAGTTACTTGGCTGGAAGCTTACATTCCTGGGGAATACTCAACCAGTAACTAAATACATGTTTGAAATTTAATATGCAAATTATAATTTTAGTATTCAGTAGAGCTTAATTCAAGCTGATTCTGTACTTTCAATGCCACGTGCCACCATTTTTCAGTTTCAGAGTTAACAGCCCATTAAGATGAAAGTTCTTGAGTTACCATCTCAAAGCCTTGATGCAGGTAGACCCATCATCACCCAGTAGTTTGTAGTCACATCACATTTTCAACTTGGAAAGTTTTGTATTAGAAAGCCTGGTCTCATTTAGTGTTAGAGGCCCCAGTTTGCTTTAATTCATTTCCATAAGCTCAAAATCTCTGTAATTTAGAAAACTACGTAAATGAAAGCTGGGATTCTGGACCTGAGTGAATTCAGAAAATAGGTAATTTTCCAGTAACATCTAATATTCAGGACTCTGCCATTGAAGGTGGTTCTTGACATACTCTGTGTGTGTCATTTTTGTGTTTTCTGATACTCTACTGTGCATACACTCAGCATTGTGGTTATTGATTTATAATAGTAGAGAGACAGAGCAGTTGGAACATAAGAAAGCTTTTTGTTTCAGAATTAACTATCCTTGGATGTATAAGATTACAATACAAACAACATGGCCCCTTGTAGTTAATATGTTTGATTTATCATCTAAAAGTCTAAAATTAAAGTGAATTTACTGGACCTGAGAGGCACTAGTACAAAATGCCCAGAGATTCGGGTCATCCTTTGTCTGCAGAACTGAAGCAGTGCCAATAACAATTGCTCCCAGTCCATCACTTTTACAGAGGTAACACATTCACTTGGGTGCTAATGAGATTCTTCTGTGGTCCTTTATTCCTGTATTGATATCACATATGAGGATTCACCATTTGAGCATTCTGGCCCAATATTTGATATAATTAAGTGTTGTTATCCAAATATCGTCTAACACCAACTCACTTTTCACGGAGCAATTATCAGTTACTAGTTGGAGACAACTGTGAATCATCAGTTGATGGACAGGGTTGACTCTTTTTGACTGCAAGTCTCTTTTCTATGAACTAGCCTTCTTGCTCTGGTAAGAGTATTTGTTATGTTTGTTATTGGCTCTTGAACAGTCTTCTGTTAAAGACTGAGATTTATCTCTTCTGTTGTCTCTTTCTTCTTTCCCTCCTTTCCTCCTTACAGAAAAATCCGTAAGAAGTTCACCAGATCACAGCTGAAAAGAGCTTCCAGAACACCTTGTTCTCCAATCATTGCAAAGACAAAGTCTCTCATGAACAATAGGCAGGCACGAACAGAGCCAGGAACCATCATGCACTGAAGATATAACAGCGTCAGCACCATAATCATGGCAGAATCATGTTTAATTGTGAATGCAGATACAACAGGACCTTCCACATCTTCAAGACAGAAACACTGTACATACAGATTGTGGCTGGGTTCTGTGTTCTGGGCAGGATCCAACAGCAGCCCTTGTTTTCCCTTGTCTCTGCAAGGGCTACTTCTGGTTCACTGTGCAGGCCTATCCCGGACTGTCCAGTATTGACTGATCAGGGAGGGACTGTTTGCACTGACCGCACTGAAGGAGTATGGATGCAGAGTCCACCCACCACATTTGTCTACGCCTTCTAGTGGCTTGATACAAAAATATGCAGCTTTCAAAACTACTGCAGTGTCTTTAAACCGGGATTTAGCCTTGAGGGGTTTGCATTTTCAGAAACAGCTGCAAACTCTGGGTGTTTGTATTTTTCAGTATTGGCTTGAGTAATTTTGGATTTGATTTTCTGAACTGTTGAGCATCCACACCCTGAAATGAGGACAAGGAGTTGTTTAGCAGTTCTGAAACTTAGACTGAATTAGGAAGTGCCCATAATTAGTGGCCAATTTTCAGAATTTTTCAGAATGCTGGCCATATTAGCTTTGGTTAAAATCCTGGAAAGTATTATGTGTGGCAGTGAACATCCAGCTGGACTGGTTGCATGTCTGGTCCCATTGTCTTTATATTTGCAAGCATCCACCTATTTCTTTGGGTATTTTTTGCATTTCTTGAAGCCTTTTCTGAATAGTGAAAACCAGCAGAACACCATTCCCAGGAAAATATGAAGAAATAGAATATTTCCTATTAGAAATGTCTCTCCACAAAATAATTTCTACATTTTGATATGTCTGGATAAAAAGATGTCTTGCAGAATGCATTGAAGTTCATAATTGTAAGGCTACAGGTGGATACTTACCATGGAGAGATGATGTGCCTTTTGAAACTACTTGTAGGAAACTGTCAGTCCCCCTGGAAGTGGGAATGGAAACAGAGGCAGGTCTTTTTTCTACTCAGGTACTTACAGGTGAACAATCTCTGCCCTACTTTGAAATTAAGAGGCAACCAATGTGTAGCACTGCTGTGTAAATCTAGTTGGGATATGTTGACTATCTGAGGCAAGTTTTGTCCTTAAATAGGTTTGGTTTCCATATGGCTTTTTAAGAGGTAGTCAGTCACTGAACACGTCATAGTAAGCTGAGATGAGCTTCAAGACTTCTTTTTCTATCTCTTTACTAGGTAGCTCTAATGGTATAGTATAGATGTGAGGTTTTCATCCAGTGGTGGACATGCACTCAGCTCTGTGGTTAGAAAGACAAAGATGTAAGAGGTGTCTCATACCTCTGGGTGATTCCCCCAAAATTATCCCGCCCCATGCGATTTATGGTTTCAGCCTCAAAGAGCATCTGTGATCTCAGCCTATAACTAGCCTTACTCTCCGTGTAGGATTTTGAGCTCTTGAGACGGTGACCCAGATGCTTCTTCAAAAAGAAAGCACCTGGACCTCCTGAAGGGACTTGCTGATCATTTTGTGGAGTGATGGAACCAGGTCTTGCCCACTGTCCTTCACCAGCAAGAAAAGGGTGAATATGAAGGACAGATTATGATATGAAGTGCTCCTACTACCCTGAGCACCCTAGTGAATGTCACTGATTTGGACTCAATTGGAGAAGACCTGGGATTCATCTGCTTACAGTTCTTTCCAACAGCTGCTGAAGTGTGCAGCCCTAGGAGTCTCTTCTAGCCACATGATCTGCTTTCTCCTCACAACAGGACGGCTTTTCATCAGATAACTGAGTGGAGACAACCTATTCTTGTTAGTAAGAATTGCCTTTATTAACTACGACATACGGAAACACCCTCTGTATAATAGCTTCCTCACCCATTAAAATAAAGAAAACATGAGTATTCAGCAATCATTTTGACTGAAAGTATGAAAAACATGAACAGAAAGAGCTTTGTCTCCCTCAGGCATCAGTGAAATCGCACACAGCAGACTCATTTTCAAAGTGTCATTAGCGGTAAGGTAGTGGATTTTTTACCCTGCCTTATTAAGCTTGTACTCAAATTATTTCTTTTAGTCAGTGTGCTACAGTGTCTAGCCAGTATTTTGTAAAATCTCTGTGTGTTTCTGCTTTTGACAAAAGTGTTAGTATCCGTAATAGTCTGATGTGAAGTAATTTTTTTCTACTTCCCCTCTGAGGAGAGAGAGATTGGTAACATGACTCCCTGTTATGCAGCCAGCTGCCTGATTCCGTTATCTTTTGCATCAAATAGCCAAGGTAAGGAAGAATCCTTTGCAGCTTCAAGCTGAGGTGCTTCATCTGGATACACTGGAAGTTATGGTGTGCTCCTGCCTGGCAGAGTCATTTCACAGGTGGCAATAGCCGACCCTCGGTGTGGGTAGGGCATGGAGGAGACTGATTGCTGGAATAACTTCTGCTCTGTCTTTAAACTGTCTTGCATGCAGCTGCACAGAGCCTATCCCTCCCCTAAAATGCACACAGTGCACAGAGAAACTGCATGCCATGTATCGCACCTTTGTCTTTACCTGCTCTTTCTCCATATTGCCTTTTCTGCAAGATGTTCTCCAGAGATGGATAGAGGATTTACCTGTGAATTTCAACCAAAAGTGTTGATGGAAGATTAGCTGAAGACATGTTCCTGCTGTGTTTGGGCATAAAGTTTTAAATTTTTGTAGAAATTGTGACGCTCCTTACAACAATGTCATGCAATTCCATGCTTTCTGTTGAGTTAAAGATTTTTTCCACTGGCTGTGAGCCAAGATGACACATTCCTGTGTAAACTCTAATAGTATATCCACAGCAAATCAGGGCTCAGTACTGTTTTTATCAAGCTTCCCAAGGTAGTTATTTTAAAACTAGCTAACATATATCAGTCATCAACAATGACACTGAGTATAAACATAAACCTCAGAAGCAAGGACAAGAAGTTTGGTACTTATCATGGATGTGAGCAAGAGAATCTGGGCAGCCTCAGCACTGCATTTGCAATATGATTTATTTTCCTGTTAGCTAAATAAGAAATCTATCTGAAAATCTGCCTCTCCTCTTACAAATATGGGGCTAGAAAACCATGCAAAATGTACAATCTTTTTGTGTCCAGAGGTCTCAGATAAAAAGTAGGAAGATTGTTTTAACGTTTAAAATGTCTATGTTGCTGATTTCAGCTATATAGCTATTCTGCTCTCTTGAAATATTTTGTATATTATTTTCAGATTATTTTTAAGGCCACTATTTAGTGATGGAAGTTTTAGTTCCGTAGGATGGAAAAATGAGGTTTTGAAATACTTGTGACTGCTTGAAATGTATTGGTGATATGAAACCAACATCTTTTAAACCAGTGTTTTGATTAAGGGCAAATATACCCTTCATTTCTGTAGTTCAAACCTTGCAGCATGTTATGAAAAACTGGGTATTGAAACTGAAATGAAGAACAAACAAACAGTAGAAATGGTGAAATGGAATCTGCACTTATAGAATGTGCACTTTTTATTAATCTAAAGAAAGATATATTTTTTTTAATACATATAATTTCAACACAGATACTTTCCTAATTATGAAGGCTTAAATAAAATGGAATAGCTGCATAGTAGTTTCTGATATAGTCACAGCATAACACGCCACAGCCTTGCACACAGAACAATTATAGTCCTTCGGAAATATTATATTGCAAAGTACGATACTGTGGACATGGTGTCCTTATATATGTGTACTGCTGTGATAATGGAAGTGTTAGAATCCTCTGGAAATTTCAGCAAAATAATATTCATTTTTCATTTTCTCTTGAAGGTCCTTTATATAAACCTGTGTCTTCATAAGCCAGAGTGGGTGTCAAGAGATCTGAGTTTATATAACTGCACAGTGGAATTTTTTTGAGTAAGTCAGGACTTTTTTATTCAAATGTTGCATGTTGAGGGAGGAGACCTAATTTTGGAATACATGGGTTTTGGATAAGAGTTTTGAGGTTGTACTATATAGTGATCAACAAATTTGCAGAATATGCTCCTGTTGCTCATAAAGATTTAACAGTTGGTATTGAAATACAGTATTGATTAAATAAAAAAGAGAAGTATTGAAGAGCTGTCTTTTTTTAAATTCTGTTGTTTAGACTAAGAGTGAATTTCTTAAGGGAATGGTAAAACTGGGAAGCTCAATGTTGAATGTTTGAGGATGTGGAGCACCTTAGAATGAAACATAGTACTATTTGATTTGCATTAAAGTGTCTTTGTGTACAAACTTTGTGACTCTTGGCCCTTTTTGCAGGAAACCAAATTTCTGCATTGACACTGTCATCCTATTTTACAGTAGACTATTGAATAGTCAAGAGACTGAAAACTGATGAGCTGTTTAAACTGCACTAGAGTTAAAGACACAAGTAGTTGAAATGGGGATGAGGAAAGAAGATTCAAAAGTCAGGGAGAGTGAGACATGAGGTATTGGTTATTGCATTGGAATGCTCGAAAACTTCTTAGGATTGAACTGAAATCTACGCAAAAGGACCCATAGTCCACAAAAAATACTAGAAGTTACAGTGCATTGCAGTCTCCAGTGCACTGGCCCATCTAAACTTTGCAGGTCAGCATTAGTGTCAAAAACTTTGCCTGTTGTTAATTTGGTAACACCTAGAACTGGTGGCTTCTATGTCAATATGGGACATAATCTGAATCCTCTTCCTTACTGACATCTGAAGGAGTTTCCCCAAATAAATTGGATGTTTTTTGCAGAGAAGGAGAATCATACAAAGGGCTTCTGAACACAAGTAATGGCTGCTACTTCACAGGTTTGTTCAAGGTAACTCTTTCCATCTCCTAATTCCCCCATCTGTCTTGGGGAAGGCAGGATTTATGTGGATCCATGCTGCTTGGTCCA